AGAGAACACATCCTGCTGCTTGAGGCCCCCAGTTTGTGGCGCTCTGCCATGGCAACCCTACTGCAGGGACAGAGGGAGGCTCCCAGCACCAGGCTCCCCTCAGCCAGGCCTGCAAAGCAAATGCACAAGAGCGTGTACCCCGAAAGCACTTCCTGTGGACATGGGGACTCGGCCCAGTGTCCTTTGGAGAGAATGGCAGAGAGGGATGGAGTCTCCCATCTGCAGATCACACACACTGGGGAGATCCACCTGAGGGCATGGCCGAGGGGAGGCTGTCCTGACTGAAGAGCTGTATCCTGACCATTCCTGATGCTGAACTGGAGGCTGTCACTTCCCTAATAAACCCCACGATGGTGAGTACGGTCTGTGAGTTCAGTGTGGCCACTGCAGGGATTATCAAACCCAGCAGAGAAGTGAGTGCCGTGGGCAGGACCGTTGGTGTCAGAATTGGTAAAAAGGCTGGAGGGTGGGGACCTGTCTGGCCTCACAGGCATCAGCCTGGGGCTGCTGCTGATTCTGTCTCCCCCCTCACGAAGCCAGAGGTCAGAGGATGCCACCAGCATCACAGCCACATGGCGGCCACCACAGTACAGCACACTGTCAGACAGTGGCAGGGCACACAGTAGGTCTTCAGTGACCATGACCAATGGGAGGAAAAGCCCAGGTACCAGGCGTGCTCACTGGCAGGGTTTCTCCTGTGCGTGAGCCCCGCGCGGAAGGCTCCTTCCCCATCAGCCTTTGTTTTTAGGCTCCACCGAGGACGGCGGAGCAGGAGCTCAAAGGCCCCAGAGGGACGAGGTCACAGGCCCCCCTTGCTCCCCAAGGCATATGCTGCAAAGGTTTGGAGGGGAGGGAAGCTCGCTGAGGGACAGGAGCTAAGGGGAGGCCCTGCTGCTGGCCTGGGGATGCCCGCACACCCTCCTCCCTGTAACATACTGGGCAACAGGGAAACCAGTACAACCTGTAGACACCATCATGTTAGAAATTACACAGGGTCCCAAGGCACCAGGATGGCTGGGAAGGACGTCTGGCTCACAGAAGTGCTTCCTGTCTAGCTCCTCATTTTAATCTCAAAGGCCAGATACAGAACAACTCAACCCACACAGTCTGAAGGTCACCAGAAGAGGAAACAGCAGATTTACACGTTCTTGCTGAAGAATTAGAAGACACAGCTGAAATGAAACCCACCAGCCACATC